AGTAGTAGTAGTAGTAGTAGTAGTAGTAGAAGAAGCAGTAGTAGTAGTAGTAGTAGTAGTAGTAGTAGTAGTAGTAGTAGTAGTAGTAGTAGTAGTAGTAGTAGTAGTAGTAGTAGTAGTAGTAGTAGTAGTGGTAGTAGTAGAAGTAGTAGTAGTAGTAGTAGTAGTAGTAGTAGTAGAAGTAGTAGCAGTAGTAGTAGTAGTAGTAGTAGTAGTAGTAGTAGTAGTAGTAGTAGTAGTAGGAGTATCAGCAGTCGTAGTCGTAGTCGTAGTAGTAGTCGTAGTAGTACTTGCAGCAGTAGCCGAAGTCGTAGTAGCAGAAATCGCGGTAGTAGTCGCCGAAGTAGCATAAGGCGTTTCAGCAGTGTCAGCAGTCGCAGCGCGAGCTTGGGCCGAAGAGGCCGAACCACCACCACCCGACACCGCAACACTGCCGGTGGGGTCGGGCGGACAGGCGCGGGCGGTGGTGGTTCGCTCGCCGTCGTCGTCGTCGCCGTCGCCGCCGCCGTCGTAGTCGTCGCCGTCGTCGTCGCTGTCGTCGCCGCCGTTTTTGTCGGCGCCGTCGTCGCTGTCGTCGTCGTCGTCGTCGTCGTCGTCGTCGGCGCCGTCGTCGTCGCCGTCGTCGTCGCCGTCGCCGTCGTCGTCGTCGCCGTCGGCGGCGTCGTCGCTCGCCGACAGGTGCGCGGCGGTGTCAGGCGCACTCTGCGGTCGCGCTCCTCGCGGTGGTATCGCTGCGCGCCGCGGAGGCCTTCGGGCTCGGCGCCAGCCTCGCGGTCAGGGGCGGCCACGGGGCCCTGCGCCGCGGAGCTCTGCAGGAACCTGCGCTGCCAGCTTCTCGTCGTCGTCGTCGTCGTCGTCGTCGTCGTCGTCGTCGTCGTCGTCGTCGTCTTCGTGGTCGTCGTCGTCGTCGTGGAAGAAACTCGACGTCGTCGAAGATCGAGCGAGGTCCAAGGTTATTGGAAGTTTCTCGGTCATTGTGGGCCTCCTGGAGCGCCCTAGTCGCCCGCCACGGCTGGGTTCCCTTCAGCAGTGCCGGCCAAAACGCATCCCACAGGAGAAGTGGGGTTGTCGTCGTCGTCGTCGTCGTCGTCGTGGTCGTGGTCGTGGTCGTGGTCGTGGTCGTCGTGGTCGTCGTCGTCGTCGTCGTCGTCGTCGTCGTCGTCGTCGTCGTCGTCGTCGTGCGAAGGTTTGCGCAGGTTTTCACAGTTTTGGATGGTTTCTGAAGACTCCTGGAGGTCCCACAGGTTTGTATCCTGGCCAGCGTGGACCCAAACAGTGGTTTCCAGCATACTAGGTGATGCAGTCTACGTGGCGCAAGCTATGTGGTGCAAGCTATGTGGTGTGAGCTACGTGATGCAAGCCATTTGGTGTAAGCTATGTGGTGCACTCTGCGTGGTGCAATCTGTGTGGTGCGATCTATAGGGTGTGAGCTTCGTAGTGCAATCTATGTGGTCAATCCATGCGGTGCGATCTATCGAAGACGCCTACGGCGAATCACCGCCGCCCCCTGCCTTTTTGGAAGCGCCTATGTGGCCGAACGTTGAGGCCAGACCTGCCAAGCTATCGGACCATGTGTTCCCCGAATCGGTTTGGAAAACCTTCGGGGAACACGTGGGCATCTTAGAGGTCATCTTGGCCGTCTGGAAGCCATTTTGACCCTTTCGGGCCTCCTTGGAGGACGCCTTGGAGGGCTCTTGGGCCGTCTTGGAGGCCATCTTAGCTCCTGGTCCGTCTGACGCCGTCGGAAGCCGTTTGGGGGGCCTCTATGGGCCGACTTGGGGCCCTCTTGGAATGCTCCAGGGCCATCTTGGAGGCCATCTTGGGCGTCTTAAAGGCCTCCTGTGCCATCTTGGGGGCCTCTTTGGGCCGTCTTGGGGCCCTCTTGGGCCGTTCTGGGGCCATCTTGGAGGCCTCTTGGGCGATCTTTCGGCGATCGTTGGGGGCTCTTGGGCCGTCTCGGGCCGTCGGAAGGCCGAGAAGAAGCAAATGTCAAAATCAGTCAAAAACCTAATGAAAATTAAGGTTTTTGACCTCTTCTGGCCTTCCTGGAGGCCCTCTTGGGGGCCTCTTGGGCCGTCTTGGGCCAGCTTCGAGCCAACTTCGGCCATCTTGGAGGGTTCCTGGCACGTCTGACGCCGTCGGGAGCCGTCTTGGGGGCTTTTCTGGGCCGACTTGGGGCCCTCTTGGGGCTCTTCGGGGCCGTCTTGGAGGCCATCTTGGGCGTCTTGGAGGCCATCGTGGGCGCCTTGGAGGCCTCTTGGGCCGTCTTCGGGCCCTCTAAGGGCGGTCGTGGGAGCCTCTTGGGCCGTCATGGGGCCATCTTGGAGGCCTCTTGGGCGATCTTGGGGGCCTCTTGGGCTGTCTTGGGCCGTCGGAAAGCCGAAAAGGCGCAAATGCCAAAATCTTTCAAAAACCTAACGGAAATCAACGATTTTGGCCGCTTCGGGCCTTCCTGGAGGACCTCTTGGAGGCCTCTTGGGCCGTCTCGGAGGCCTCTTGAGGGCCTCTTGGGCCGTCTTGGGCCACCTTGAGGCTACCTTAGGCTGTCTTGGGTGCCTCTTGGACCGTCTTGGAGGCATCTTGGGGCCATCTTAGCCGTCTCGGAGGGCATCTTGTCCGTCTTGGAGGCATCCTGGAGGCCATCTTGGGCCATCTTGGAGCTGTCTGGAACGGAAAAACCCTTTGCAACCACCTCTGGAAGATCTTTGGGCATCCTTCCGGGACCCCGGCGGGACGCGCCGGAGCCCACTGGGAGTTCTTTCAGACAAAAACTAAAACCAAAACCGTAAGAAGTTCAGCACGCCAGTCACCCCTGTGATGAATCAACAGGGGGCGGCGGATAACGGAAAGAGCGAGGTACGAGCGATGACGTTGACAGTGTGTTGGGCGAAGCCCCTAAGGGGGGTTCCAGGGGGGGGGCGTACGGGGAGGGGTTGGGTTTAATGGCCGTTTTGGGGGTTTTCCCTTGGGTTTTTGCATGTTTTTCGGATTTCTCCTTTTTTCCGTCCGAGAAGAGCCCAAGACCGCCCAAGACAGCCCCAAGACGTCCCAAGAGGCCTCCAAGACGCCCCAAGGGGCGCCCAAGAGGCGTCCCAAGAGGCGTCCCAAGAGGGCCCCCAAGAGACCCCAACCATCGTTTTTCCAACGGAAAATGTACATTTTTAGCATATACGGCTTTTCGGCTTTCACGGCGTTGACGACGCCCCAAGAGGCCCCCAAGACCGCCTCAGGACGGCCCAAGAGGCTCCCAAGAGGCTCCCAAAACGGCCCCAGAGGGCCCCAAGACGGCCCAAGAGGCGCCGAAGACAGCCCAAGAGGGCCCCAAGGTGGGCCGAAGAGGGGGACCACGAACCGAAAAGCCTAGCCATTCGCCCCAAGACGCCCCCCAGGAGGCCCCAAGAGACCCCCAAGAAGCCCCAAGAGGCGCCCAAAAGGCGGCCCAAGAGGCCACCAGGAGGCCAAAATTTTTGATTTTCCTATGGGAAGGTACATTTTTAGCATACCCGGCCTTTGGGCTTTCACGGCGTTGACGGCGGCCCAAGAGGCCCCCAAGACCGCCCCAAGACGGCCCAAGAGGCTCCCGAGAGGCGCCCAAAGCGGCCGAAGAGGGCGCCAAGACGGCCCAAGAGGCGCCCAAGACGGCCCAAGAGGGCCCCAAGACGACCCAAGAGGGGGACCACGAACCGAAAAGTCGAGCCTCGCCCCAAGACGCGCCCAGGAGGCCCCAAGAGCCTCCCAAGAAGCCCCAATAGGCCCCCAAGAGGCCCCCAAGAGGCCCCCAAGAGGGCTCCAAAAGGGCCCCAATAGGACTCCCAAGCCGGCCCAGAGACGCCAAATTGCCCTGCGACGTACCCAACCCGATGGCATCAAGTGGCAAGCGGAGTAGGGAAACATTAGCAGGAACCGTGACAGTGCAGGCGCGGCGATTTGTAGTGCGACCTACATGGGATGCGTAATGTTGCACGACTCACAGAACAGCAATCGATAAGACGAGGAGTATGTCTCAAGGCTTGTTAAACAATAGCGGGGGCGGGAACGAGGGACAGGAGAAGGACGAACCCAGTAGGAAGGGGCGAGGAGCCATCGCAGCAGCAGCACCATGAATGCATAAGGTAACAGGAGGACTAGGGCGGCGATGATGAAAGAGGAGGGAGGAAGCAAGATACTGTTTCGTTTTTGCAGGAGCTCGGTCAACGCATGCCTGCTGCCTGTCCACAAGATCATACCTGTTTATATCTAGTGCAGGAAGCGATCGAGACCTAGCTCGCGCGCCAGCTTCTCTGCCTCCTTCCTGCATGCTGCAGTGCGGGAACTGAACTTCCGCAGTTTCTCCGCAAGGTCTGCCGGTGGGCCGCGGGCAAGAAAGTCAAGGCCGGGGTCGCGCACCATCAGTAGGTTGTCTATCGTCGTCGCCCTGGACAGCATCACGTAGAGGTGCAGCCACAGAGCGTCCAGGTCGTTCGCATCCTTGCACCCTGCGTCAACAATGACTCCGCGGTGCATGGTGCGGCCCTGGCAGGCAGTGGACGTCAGGACCTCGGCAGATCGCAGACCCCCAGGGATGGCGAGGTCTAATCTGAATCTGCGTGGTGCCTCACTCCGCTGGACCCACCAGCAGCCCTCGAATGTGGCGACAGTTTCGCAGATCGCAGCCCCCCAGGGATGGCGAGGTCTAATCTGAATCTGCGTGGTGCCTCACCCCGCTGGACCCACCAGCAGCCCTCGAATGTGGCGACAGTTTCGCAGATCGCAGTGTCGCCCCCCAAGGATGGCGAGGTCTAATCTGAATCTGCGTGGTGCCTCACTCCGCTGGACCCACCAGCAGCCCTCGAATGTGGCGTCAGTGTCGCAGATCGCAGCCCCCCAGGGATGGCGAGGTCTAGTCTGAATCTGCGTGGTGCCTCACTCCGCTGGACCCACCAGCAGCCCTCGAATGTGGCGACACTTTCGCAGATTGCAGCCCCCCAGGGACGGCGAGGTCTAATCTGAATCTGCGTGGTGCCTCACCCCGCTGGACCCACCATCAGCCTTCGAAAGTGACGACACTTTCGCAGATCGCAAACCCCCAGGGATGGCGAGGTCTAATCTGAATCTGCGTGGTGCCTCACTCCGCTGGACCCACCAGCAGCCCTCGAAAGTCGAGGTCTAATCTGAATCTGCGTGGTGCTTCACTCCGCTGGACCCAGTTTCGCAGATCGCAGCCCCCCAGGGATGGCGAGGTCTAATCTGAATCTGCGTGGTGCCTCACTCCGCTGGACCCACCAGCAGCCCTCGAAAGTGGTGACAGTTTCGCAGATCGCAGCCCCCCAGGGATGGCGAGGTCTAATCTGAATCTGCGTGGTGCCTCACTCCGCTGGACCCACCACAGCCCTCGAAAGTGGCGACAGTTTCACAGATCGCAGCCCCAAAGGGATGACGTAAAAGGCAAGAGAGAAGAGGAGGAACGAAGAGAGGAGGAGAAGGGAAGCAAGAGAGGAGGAACGAAGAGAGGAGAAGGGATGCAAGAGAGAAGAGGAGGAGCGAAGAGAGGCGGAGAAGGGAAGCAAGAGAGGAGAGGAAGAGGGAAGAGAGGAGGAGGAAGCGGGAAGGAAGGAAGGTGGAGACCGCAGTGCTCTATTCAAAACGAGTACCCAACGCAGGAGGGTTGGGAATAAAGAGCGATCCGTGATGCAACAAGTTCTTCACACCAAGGCTCCCAGGAGCGACCGGTGACGTAAACAAGCTGATAAGACCAAGGGTCCCAGCAGAGAGCGGTGACGTAACAAATTCCTGACACCAAGGCCCAGCCAAGGCTCCGGAACGGGCGGCAAGGCAA